CCAACTGCCGGCAACGGGTGAGTTCACCTGGGACCTTTGGAGCGGGAGTTAAAATTCCCAGAGCAGACTTTGGGGGGAGAGAGAGAAAGAAGAGGTTCATTTTTTTGCTGCAGCTGTTGATAGTGCGTGGCCTGATCAGCGTAAAGCGCACAGAGGCACAGAGATCGAGAAAGCAATGGGAAACTTACCCAGCTCAGAGAAGGGGATGTCTTTGGCCGAGGTCATGCAAAATTGGAATAGCATTTTTGGTACAGCGACTCTATCAAAAAAGCGCACTGACATTTTATGTCGGGAAGGCTGGCCAGCTATAACTAGAGATGGAAACCTGGCAGAACGGTGGCCACCGCAAGGGACCTTTGACCAGCACAAACTTACCTTTCTGCGACATCGCCTAGAGGATAGGCTCCTGGGACAAATGGATTACTGGTATGTTTGGGATGATTGGGCATGGGAGAGGAGCGGGATGAAAGAGGCCTCACCAAAGGTAACGCTTGCAGTAATGCCCCGAATAAAGCCTCAGATAATGCTCCAACTGCATCCGCTCTGCTTTATGTGCCTAATGCTCCTCTGCTTTCTGATTCTGCTCCGATGGCTGCCAGACACTATCCTATGATTTCTAACGTCTTACCTAATCCTGCTGCTATGCAACCGGGAGGTGAAGGGGCTCCCCCTGTGCTGCACATATTTACTAATCAACCTTGGAATTCTGGTGATTTATCTACACGGGGGAGTAAAACGCCACGACTGAGAGAGGACGCTGACAAATGTGCTCAGTTGTTTTCTAATATATGCACCGGGTATAACCCAAATTGGGAAGACACTCAAATACTTTTAAGAGAGTTGTTTCGGCCAGATGAATGTGAAAAGATAATTAATAAGGATGCAGAATTAGCACCACAGGCCGGAGGAGGAAGAAACATCTGGCTGGCAAATAATCCAAATTGAGATTATAACAATGCAGGGGATAGAACTACCTGCCAAACTGCACTCTGAAATTTAGTGGAAGCAATTAGGGCAGGCAAACAAAGGGGGGTAAATTGGGCTAAGGTACTGGAGTGCAGACGAAGACCAGATGAACACCTTAGTGATTTTTGGATGTGACTCCAACAAGCCTTATTGAAATATGGAGGAACAACCATGCAACATTTTAATGCAAACCTCCCAATTACCATCTCTGTGGCTCAGGCAGCCCCCGATATAGGGAAATACTTTAAAGAACATGTGCCAGTGTGGCAGGGAGAAAATTTGCAGAAGATTTTGAGTGTTGCTGTGTTTGTATATGATGGATGTGAGGAAAGGGAAACAATTGAGCAGATTACAGAGAGGAAAAAACCAAAAGAACAGGAGAGAAATTGACTGGCTGCAGCTTTAGCAAGGAATCTGCAAATGAGAGATAGGGGTTGGAGGGGGAGAAGATCAGATTCATGGTCTGAGTTAAGACCAGGAAGAAGGCAAAGAGAACAGGGAAAGAATGCTGGAAGAGAGTGCTACAATTGTGGGAATTTAGGACGCTTACGGTGGGAATGTCCATACCAGCTGTGGGACAGGACACCAGGAAAAGATTTACACTGGGGGGAATTTCCACGGGAAGTCTCACAGTCACAATGACTAGAGTAATGGGACCCTGTGGAACTGGAGCGGGGCG